AATGAATGTGCACATAATGTTTATTTTTTTTCATGAATTACAATCGCATCTTGTGGATGTGCCAAAGCATCATAATCTAATTGTGATGCTCTTCCACTGGGTTCTAATGGTGTGAATGTTATGAGAACCTTGTGTAAACGATGAGATATTCTTAGGGAAAAGCAAACCACTGCGTATTGGAGTTATTAAATTTCTCAATAATGATGAGTTTTCGATAAGGAAATGCCTAAATAAGTAAATTAATCATAAACATTTTTGTGATACACGTTAGAGTTATCACTATAATACTATGATCAGCTTGATTGATATGTTCTCATCATGTTTCAGAGAATGGTATAGATGCAGAACAAAAATTGGATATAGATGTTCTTTTGTGTGCGTTTCAATCTTTTGAATTTGTTATCAATCTTCATTTGATGAGTTGTATATTGGGAATCATAAATGAAGTTTCATGACATTACAGTGAAAAGGTTAATATATTGGGAATGCCACAAAATTAGTTCAAATATCCAAGCAACGACTCTAAATGATGAGAAAAAATTTGTGGAGTTATTTGCTTTTGATGATGAGTCTTATTTTTTGTGAAAAATATGATATAATTGTTCCAAATATGGACGATATATTTCAAACTCAACGAAGATCAAGGCATAAAACTCAAGAAATGACAAACTTGCATCATTATTGAGTTGAGTTGTTTTATGTTATAATAGATATGCACCTTCATGGGCTAAAGAGCTATTTTACTGAGTTGAATACGGCATGTTTGAGTCCTATTAATTGATTCTTTGATCTTGAAAAGAAGAAGCTGGCTAATCTTGCCCAATTTTGTACAAAAGAATTTTCTTTATTAGAGTGCATGATACTTTTTGATTTGCTACGTAGTTATATTATTGATGTGTGTTTTAGCATTAAGTTTTCAAACCTGTTAGAAAGTGATGATCTTGCTCAAAAAATAGTTGAGACAAAAAATAGGAGGTATATTCATTAGTTTTATTACTTCTAACTTTGACATTAATCTTACCTACATTGATCCATAAAAGAAGGGATGATCAGTTGGGACCATTAATTTATATGTGGGTGGGAACTTTGACTACAAGTTTTTCCTTCTAATCGATTAAAGTAAACGATACACGGTAAAATTTTCCAATCATATAAGATACCTAAAAATTCATTGAACACAAATGATCAAATGCCAATAAATATGGGGTATAGAAAGAAAAAAACTCCAAAAAAAAACGCTAATTAGATAGTTTTAAAGAAAATGAGACTGGCTATAGCCATTTATAATTGACCCAACGAGTTCTCATATTTTGAAAAAATTGCATGATAAATTCCTTATCAATACAATTAAAAATGACTTTCTATATGTACACAATCAAACTATCTATCATCCATTGATCACTATAATTGATTCTTCACAACTTTGATAGCATATGTTGTGTCTACTATGACAGTTGCAACAGGGAAGATTGATGCCAAAGGCACAAGTTAGTAGACTAACTAATGGATATATCACATTTTTTTTGTCTCAACCATTCCTTGAGCAAGATCAACAATTCCAAATACATTGAAAGATCAATGTTAGAGCGCACTTCAATAATATAACCATCTAACTAATTGAGTATCATGAACTCTAGTGAAAAAAATTCTTTTGGATAAAATTGTGCAAGGCAAACTAATTTCTTCTTGTCAAAATAGAGAATGAATCAAAAGGACTCAAATATATCACACAAAGAAGCAATTTAGTGTTCAACTCAATAAAACGGCTCTCGAAGTTGCATATATGTGACAACATAAAACAACTTGACTTGATGGTGTGCAAATTTATCATTTCTTGAGCTTTAAAACTTGGTCAAATTATCCCTATTTGGAAACTGTATCATGTTTTCACAAAAAGAAGAAACATCATCAAAAGCAAATAAATTCACTTAATTTCTCTCAACATTTGGAGTCGTTGTTTAGATACGTAAACTAATTTCATGGCATTCATAATATCTTAATCTTTCATCAGTAATGTCAGCGACAGTTCATTTGTGATTCCTAATAAACTCCTAATTAAGTGAAGACTGATATCAATATCAAAAGATTGAAACAATTCAAAAGAACATCTTTTCCTCTTCTTTGTTCTACATTTAAACCATCTTATGACATCATATTGAGCACATCAATTCTTAATGAGAACATATCCATCAAGTTGATCAGAGTATTATAGTGTGAACCCCAACTTGTATCACAAGTACTCTTAAGACTAGTTTCCTTATTTAGGCCTTGCCCACTTGAAAGCTCATCATTACTAAATAATTCAATAATTCTAACAACATTTTTCTCCCTAAGAAATTATCATCATTTACACTAGTTACTAAGTTGATAAGTGTCGTGATTTGATTTTGATTCTTTGTCATAGCCACAAAACCAATTGTAATTGATGAGAAAAACAATGAACATAATTTTCACATTTAATTTCATTATGAGAGTCGTAAATCTATTAAACTAACGCGCATATTACTAGCCCCATCTTAGACTTACTCATGCAATTTGGGCAAGCTCAATCTATGTCCAGAAAATAAGTCTTCTACTGCATCAAGTGAAAGAGAGAAAGAGAAAGAGAAAGAGAACACTCGTATTAATAACATGTTTAGAATCTAAAAGGTGATAAACTATATACCCTTTTTTTGTCCACAAATCTCAATGTAGTAGTCATTTGCTCTTTAGTTGATACGTCATGAGATTCAACTGGAAAAAAAAATGTCTCGCTAAGATGAAGAGTAATAACATTGCATGGTTCAACTGCAAAGATTTTCTAGAGCATTTTTCAAGACAACAATTTTAATGCCTTCATTGTGATTGGTAAGAAATCTAAAAAGGTAAAGGAAGTTTTCTTGAGGACTTGTATTCTCATATTCATTGTAACTAGGAAATGAAAGCCTTTGTTTTAGAAGAAAATGAGCACAATCAACCGATGCATTCAAGCGGTTTTGTATTCACTTCAAGCTTAGATTGATTGCTTGAAGAAAATGGCTTGAATACTTTGGTTTGGATTAAATAAATCTTGACATTTTTTCTAAGTTTGGTTTTGGGAATTATTAATGCCTCATATACGAATGTGAAGCTTCTCTATCCTCTTCCAATTTGAAAAGCCCCTAATAATAAAGGTTTCAATACCTACTTGTTCTCCTATATCCAATTTGAAAATATAATCGTATAGGCAAAGTGTTGTATCTCTTGCTACACAACACTCGAGCCAATTATAANTAATAATAAAGGTTTCAATACCTACTTGTTCTCCTATATCCAATTTGAAAATATAATAGTATAGGCAAAGTGTTGTATCTCTTGCTACGCAACACTCGAGCCAATTATAGAACTGAAAAAACTAAATTTGGTTGAACCATGGTAGTTTAACATCAAATTTATTTTGTGTAAAGTTATAGTCGAGAGGTTAACAATAACCACTCCGTAAATAAGTACTACGAATTTGGTCTTGATCGTTAGGATTATAATCCATAATCTGAGGCTATAGTTCAAGATCCAGTGTAATATCCTCCAAATTAATATCTACACAAATTCTCTTTGACAAGAATCACCACCTCTTTTTGCTGGAGGTGATAACTCGAACTTTCTTTTGAATTATGTTTCCATGAATGCTTTAGAAAATTTATAAAGAGAATATATTACATTTTTTGTAATTAATGAGAAAAAACTAATTTTCCAATTTTATTATTAGCATATTAAAAGAGAATTTGCAATAGGAAGCAAATGCAAGTACACAATAGACCAAAATTTCATGGAATTTGGAACACAACACACATAATTACAATTTCTAACCACAAATACACAGAATTGCAATTTCTAATTGTCCCAATTTCATAACAATCTAGCAATAATTCAACAGACAAATTCAAAGAATTAAGGGCAGTTTGAGATTGAGGGTTGCTGAAAAAATTATTATTATCACCGACTCAATAGTCGTAGCTCAAGGACATAATTCTGCCCACCATTAACCATATCTACCTGCTATAGCGTTTCTCACCTTAGATTGAATTAATTGTCTTTAAGTCATCTCCAATTACGTCACATAATAATGATATCATTGCTAGTAATGATGATATCGTTGCTAATACTAGCTACAAAAGTCATGGAATGAATTAGGGTCAAAATGCACAAAAAATCAAATTTGGGTTAAGAAACCAAACAAAAATTAAAATGTAATTGATAATTTAATAAACCCAACAATCACAATAGTTCATTTGCTTGTGGTCAAACTCACAATTTAAAAAAAGTTACAAATTTTTACACTAAAAAAAGTACATATACAGAAAGGTCACAGACACCTTAGTTGACACGGTAGATGGAAGGTTACAAATGCCGGAGGATCGCAATAATCAAGCATCGTAGTCACTCACACTCAGTTCTTCGNAATTTTTACACTAAAAAAAGTACATATACAGAAAGGTCACAGACACCTTAGTTGACAAGGTAGATGGAAGGTTACAAATGCCGGAGGATCGCAATAATCAAGCGTCGTAGTCACTCACACTCAGTTCTTCGCTCTTTGTTCAGTGTTCCTCTCGACAATATTGGTTCTCCCTCTATTTCGCACTTGTTGTTTTCTCTGTCTCAAGTTCGCTCATTTTTTTGCATGAGGAACGAAGGGCAAAGATCAGCTAGATAAAGGCTAGAGCTTGATTCATACTTCACGTGTCATGAGTGGGGTGGGCCCAGATTTTTTTTTTTTTTTTAGGTGCGCACAACTTAAATCACTTAAAACACGTGTCATATATATTGATAATAAAGGTAATAAAATTCTCTCTCTCAGGGTGTATCAGGGCCCCCTAGCCCAGTGCTAGCTCCACCCCCGAGTCTAGTAGAGATGACCAACCTAAGTGTGACAAATCAACCACAGTTTACCTACATCACATACAGAAAGACAAGCTGATCAAGCCATTTGAGTGTCTTTTAGCCTTCAATGAGAAAAACTTCAGTCATTACCTATAGTGAAAATGCTGACAATGGTAAGTCTTGTTGTTCCTAGTGTTGGGGACCATCCAGTTCTTGCGATTGGAACTGATGTGAGGACAATCTTTACTGGCCCTAGTGCGGCTGTATTGCAAATGGCCTTTGGGTTTGGGGAGGTTTCTCCATCGAATCCGTTCTTAGTTTTTTCCTCAAAACTTCTGGGAAGCCCTTTCATGCAGTTGTCCACAGGGTTAAGGGTTACATGTTGCTTGATCATGATTTTGAGCCTGTTATGACTGCTTCCGGGGCCTTGCAATCGTACAATTTGCTTACAAAGCTGTTACCTGGTTGCTGTTTTTGCCTAGTGCGAACATGGAAAGACTGTAATACTATGATGCAAGAGGTTTTTGAATTCTCAGGTTATCACAGGGTTATGGTCCATAAATTTCATGATGACGATCATGTAGAGGTTGTGTTTGAGATGACAAAGCCAAGCCTTGCACCTTATTTTTGTTTACATTATCCAGCCACAGATATCCCTCAGGCTGAATGCTTCTTATTCATCAAGAACAAGGTCCGAAATTTCTGTGATTGTCGAACAAAACATGTGCAAGTGTTTCAAGATGAGAAGCTTCCATTTGATCTAACCTTTTGTGGTTTGACTCTCAGGTCTCCACTGTTGTCATTTACAGTATATGGGAAGCATGAATTCTACTGCCTCTCTGGTTATGGCAGTGGTGGTAAATGATGGAAATGAAGATCGCGAGAGCCCTGATTTTGCACAGGCACACAAGAGAAAGAGGCTTTGGGGTTTAGTGGTGTCCCATAACACTATTCCTAGGTTTGTTGCCTACTCTCTTTGTTATGCATGTGAATTTCCTGCTCAAGTATTTGAAATCCAAGTCAACAAGGAATTGGAATTGGCCAATCAGATCCTTGAGGAGAATATCCTACATAGACAGACACTATTGTGTGATAATCTGATGAGAGATGCACCCCTTGGAATTGTGCCACAAAGCCCCAATATCATGGATCTTATGAAATGTGATGGGGCTGCTCAGCAATTCAGGAATAATATAAATAGGCTTGGAGGCACTCCTTCTGACTTTCAGCACCATGATATAGTTTCGTGGCTTTAAGGGTAGCATAGATTCTGCGGGTTTGAGTATGGTTTGCATGATGCAGGGTCCCCTGGAGGCTGGAGCACTCGCTCTTAGTAATGTAGTGTGTGGGATGCCAGCTGTGAGGATAACTTCCAAGGACATGCTTTTCTGGTATAGTTCTCTCACTGCTGCAGAAATTCAACAGGGCAGTGCACAACATGAGCCGGGGTGACACACCCGAGGTCATCATTTAAAGCTTTCCTAGAAGTTGCTAAGATGAGCAGTTTACCTTGGAAGGACTATGAGATGGATTGCCATCCAGTCTTTGCAACTTATACTGAGGAATGCTTTCAAGGATGCCGAAGCCATGGGTTTAAACATCAGTACAATCCATACAAGGCTCAATGACCTCAGAATTGAAGGAGAGCAAGAACCACAAGCAGTGACAACTGATATGGTCAGATTGATTGAAACAGCCACAGCCCCAATCTTTGCAGTTGATGTGGATGGGCTGGTTAATGGATGGAAAACAAAAACTGCTGAATTAACTGGTCTGCTTGTTGAACAGGCATTTGCTATCACTCGTGGAAGATTCTTCTGTTAATACAGTCAAAAAGATGTTGGAATTGGTTTTGTGCGGTGTGACCTATTCCAGTCTTTCATTCAAATTGCCTACCCATGATCCAGTCCTAAATAAAATTTCAAATTCATTTTCCTATGCATGTGTGTGTGTGCATTTTTATCTGGACTAAGTTGCTGTGCACTGTCATCATATTGACTAAGTGGTACATGAAAATGTTGAGGGGGTATTGTTAGAGCATCCAACTTAAAATGATATAAACCAACCTTGGGTGGTGCTAATCATTCAATGTGGGATATAAGATTTCATTAGAATCAGTTAGTCTGTTTATGTGCTCTGTTGTACCTTGACATTTTTTGCCCCAAACTTGACATCTATTTGGACCTGGAGATGGTGGAATTTACCCCAGACAAAGTATTGGTTGCCTCCATTAGTAAAGTCATGATGACGAGAATAGAAAGGGTATTCAAATATACTGATTTGGCGGAAAATATCATATTTGAAACCTTGTACAGAGACAATTGCTTGTTGATTGCAGTGAATTTTACTCCAAATAGAGGCCGGTTTGGTGGTATTGCTTCTTTGAGTGATGATCGTCAAGGAGAATCTGTTCAGCTTGCACATTTGGAAATCAGGTACAAGCAAAATTGGGCTTTACAGTTTTTCATTACAATGGAGTGCTTAATGGATAAATCTGATGATGGTTTTGCTTTACAGCTCTTATTTGGAAATTCTTTCTTATATGGACACTTGTATGCACAGGAAAAAGTGCTATACATATCTTTTTTTTCCTGGTAAGTCTGTACATATCATTAATGCAAAAAATACATTTGGTTTGTCTGTTCCAAATCCAGGGAACAACTTGGTTTTACAAAAGGAAAAATGAGAGACTTTTAAAATTAAAAACTGAATATCAACTGTATTCATTAATAAAAAATCATTTTTTTCACTTTATAAAATACTAATCATAAGAATCTGCGTTTGTACATGAGCCAGAGACCCATTTTGTCAAGTACCCTAAATTTTTTTTTCGGTGTTTAGAGTATGTAGTAGTAGTGTATACTGTGTATACAAGAAGTTTTCTGCAGCTCTAACCGGTAAAGCAGTTGTCTCTATGTTTCTTTGGAAATGCAGTAGGAGCAGGGGATGGGAATTCGTCACTTGATAAATTCAACTTTGTGGTTCAAGCCCTCTAATTATAACCAAATTCTTTGAGAAGTGGACTGGTAGAACTTCAATGAAGATAAGGAAACATGGAGACCAACCTGTTGGAGGTATCGAATTCAATGAACAAACTCCCTTCAAAGAATCAGAAGGAAGAGTTGAATGGATAATTCTGGTGTTTGATTTTGGCCTTTGAATGGAAAAATATACTTGAAACTTGTCCCACTCATTACTTCTGTCTGATGTTGGATAACACAAGTTGGAGGTGGGGTACTAGAAAAATTGTTGGGCCAGATGTTTGGAAGTAATGAGGATGCCTATGAGGAAGGCATCAGCCTTCTCATCAGCAGAAAACTAGTGAAGCGCATGAATGGGGATGTTCAGAACCTGATGGGGAGAGGCAAGTCGACTTTCATCATATCCGTTGAACTAGCTACAGCTAGTTAGCCCTGTCNGCCTATGAGGAAGGCATCAGCCTTCTCATCAGCAGAAAACTAGTGAAGCGCATGAATAGGGATGTTCAGAACCTGATGGGGAGAGGCAAGTTGACTTCCATCATATCCGTTGAACTAGCTACAGCTAGTTAGCCCTGTCGTGAATTCTCAATTCGTTCTGGTCAGACACGTAGGAAAGGAATTTTAATGCTGTACTAGGATAAACTATGTACTACTATCTTTTTTTAGGTGTTTTCTTTGGTTCATTTGTGTTGCTTTGATTTGCAAATATGCAAATTTTGTGTTTGATAAACTCGGCATTAACAAATTTTAGATCAACATTGTTGTTACTTTATGCCGGTTTAAGCTTTTTAAGAGCATGCACAAGGTTCTTGCTATTAAAGGGTCTAGGAAAAGTTTGATACACACAGTATTATGTATATTCCCGATTACTATCGTGAAAATAGGGTGCTCATGGTGTTTGTTTTGGTGTTTCATCACGAACGCTTCCTCATAATTTCATCCAAATCATTGTAATTGCGCAACCTTCCCATTATTTGAACTTGAGATTCAGTAGGTATAGGTTTTGCAAAGACACCCAATGATTCTACTTTCCAGAGTTCCACATGAATTGAGGTGGTGTTTTGGAATGGCTCAAAAGAAAGTGTTTTTTTATACCCATGACTTATAGTAAGCGCTTTAAACCCCCAAAAAAAATGTGTTTGCATCAACTCATTTAAAGTATTTCTAATAAGCAAGAAGTGGTTATTCCATTTGACTAAGTCCATAAATGGAAACAAAAATAAAAACTTCTAGTTTCTAGAATACTCTTCTACTCAAAGTAATTATATTTTTACATTCACTACAACTATCACCGCCATCACCCGCACTCATCATCATTGTCGACACCAATACATCCCCCCCCCCTCCAAAAAAAATACTACCACTATCACTTCCAATTCTCCCGTACTTTTACTATCAAACACACTCATCACTATTGTCTCACTACCAACCGTTGTTATTGCCATCACTATGGTCAATGTCACCACCATAATAGCATCGCCGCCTCCACTAAAACGATCAACAATACACACACAAATATATAAATCTATTTAAGAGTATCTTAGTCATTGTAAATGTATAAGTGTATTTGTTAATTATCTACACGTGTTTTTAATAAAATATAGCTTTATCAAAGTGTTTTTGTCTAATATTCAAACAATAATTATTTAATAAATATGATTTCTTATAAAATACATTTTATTGAATATATTTTTAAGGAGTGTGTTTTATTAGTCATTCCATACGGAACATAAATAATTTATTTTAAAATTTTTTCTTAAGAAAAAAAAAACTCAACCATTGGAGATTTTCATGAGTTGAACACTTTTACCAAACGATTTATGACATCTCCGACCTTTATTCAAAATTAAACTTATATATAAATTTTGAATAGAACTAAGTCATAAGCTACAACCCTTTAATTAAATTTATATCGGATAACAAAAATTTGTTTGAAATCAAAAAAACCTCAAAATTTAAGCCACATGTCCATATTCTCATCTTTCAAATGACTCTATTGAAACTTGTGTCATTGTTACTGATATCATTGTATATCGTTTTTCCAGCCTTGCGCAATTTTTTTTTTTTTTTTAAACAAAGACTTTATCAGATCAAAGGGGTAGATATTTTCATGAAATTTTAGAAAATAAATACAAAGGTTGAGAAAAGAGATGGACAAAAAATTTTGGAGGAAAAAATTGAAGAAAATGAAACATTTTAGTATCTAAATATCAAATCCAATTTTGTACTCAGTTTTTTATTCAAATACGTGTAAAAGGGTAAGCTGAACTCACATCGGACTCGAAGTAAAAGGTTGGGGGCAGCTGTCAGATTTTGGAATAAATGTTCTCCTTCTCCAATTCAGCTGTCAGATAGTATTATTTTTGCCAGGCTCGACAAAATTTGACACGGGATTATTAAATAATAAAGTATAAACTTATTAAATAAATGAGTTATATTTGGGTGTGCGATGTCGATCTATTTATCACCTTGTTTATTCATTTAAATAATTTAAAAATTAAATTTAATAATTCTAACAAAGGTAATAAGTCTCAATAAATTATATGATAAAATCAATAGTTATAATTATCTAAGACTAATTTTTAACTCTATTAAATTCGTGTAACATTACTCNTTATTTTTGCCAGGCTCGACAAAATTTGACACGGGATTATTAAATAATAAAGTATAATCTTATTAAATAAATGGGTTATATTTGGGTGTGCGATGTCGATCTATTTATCACCCCGTTTATTCGTTTAAATAATTTAAAAATTAAATTTAATAATTCTAACAAAGGTAATAAATCTCAATAAATTATGTGACGTACAGTGAAATCAATAGTTATAATTATTTAAAACTAGTTTTTAACTCTATTAAATTCGTGTAGCATTACTTNGCAAAGACACCCAATGATTCTACTTTCCAGAGTTCCACATGAATTGAGGTGGTGTTTTGGAATGGCTCAAAAGAAAGTGTGTTTTTTATACCCATGACTTATAGTAAACGCTTTAAACCCCCCAAAAAAAATGTGTTTGCAACAACTCATTTAAAGTATTTCTAATAAGCAAGAAGTGGTTATTCCATTTGACTAAATCCATAAATGGAAACAAAAATAATAACTCCTAGTTTCTAGAATACTCTTCTACTCAAAGTAATTATATTTTTACATTCACTACAACTATCACCGCCATCACCCGCACTCATCATCATTGTCGACACCAATACATCCCCCCCCCCTCCAAAAAAAATACTACCACTATCACTTCCAATTCTCCCGTACTTTTACTATCAAACACACTCATCACTATTGTCTCACTACCAACCGTTGTTATTGCCATCACTATAGTCAATGTCACCACCATAATAGCATCGCCGCCTCCACTAAAACGATCAACAATACACACACAAATATATAAATCTATTTAAGAGTATCTTAGTCATTGTAAATGTATAAGTGTATTTGTTAATTATCTACACGTGTTTTTAATAAAATATAGCTTTATCAAAGTGTTTTTGTCTAATATTCAAACAATAATTATTTAATAAATATGATTTCTTATAAAATACATTTTATTGAATATATTTTTAAGGAGTGTGTTTTATTAGTCATTCCATACGGAACATAAATAATTTATTTTAAAATTTTTTCTTAAGAAAAAAAAAACTCAACCATTGGAGATTTTCATGAGTTGAACACTTTTACCAAACGATTTATGACATCTCCGACCTTTATTCAAAATTAAACTTATATATAAATTTTGAATAGAACTAAGTCATAAGCTACAACCCTTTAATTAAATTTATATCGGATAACAAAAATTTGTTTGAAATCAAAAAAACCTCAAAATTTAAGCCACATGTCCATATTCTCATCTTTCAAATGACTCTATTGAAACTTGTGTCATTGTTACTGATATCATTGTATATCGTTTTTCCAGCCTTGCGCAATTTTTTTTTTTTTTTTAAACAAAGACTTTATCAGATCAAAGGGGTAGATATTTTCATGAAATTTTAGAAAATAAATACAAAGGTTGTGAAAAGAGATGGACAAAAAATTTTGGAGGAAAAAATTGAAGAAAATGAAACATTTTAGTATCTAAATATCAAATCCAATTTTGTACTCAGTTTTTTATTCAAATACGTGTAAAAGGGTAAGCTGAACTCACATCGGACTCGAAGTAAAAGGTTGGGGGCAGCTGTCAGATTTTGGAATAAATGTTCTCCTTCTCCAATTCAGCTGTCAGATAGTATTATTTTTGCCAGGCTCGACAAAATTTGACACGGGATTATTAAATAATAAAGTATAAACTTATTAAATAAATGAGTTATATTTGGGTGTGCGATGTCGATCTATTTATCACCTTGTTTATTCATTTAAATAATTTAAAAATTAAATTTAATAATTCTAACAAAGGTAATAAGTCTCAATAAATTATATGATAAAATCAATAGTTATAATTATCTAAGACTAATTTTTAACTCTATTAAATTCGTGTAGCATTACTTATAAATTAATAGTTATTCAAAAAAATATTTATAATAATACATGTAGTTATCAATTAGATTAATTTTAAAAAATGTAATAATTTTTTTAGTGAAACCTACAAAAAAATATATATATATATAGGGAAAATTTTATTTTGACCCCCCTGAAGTTTATTACTTAATCAGATGGACNATTTATAATAATACATGTAGTTATCAATTAGATTAATTTTAAAAAATGTAATAATTTTTTTTAGTGAAACCTACAAAATATATATATATATATAGGGAAAATTTTATTTTGACCCCCCTGAAGTTTATTACTTAATCAGATGGACCCCGTTGGATATGAAAAATAACACTGCCACCCCCTAGTACTAACGTTAACCTAACAGACCTAATAGCAATGATGAAATGACTATTTCACTTCCCTCACTAAACCACCGACACCATCGCCTCGACAGTGTACCGGCACCATCGTTCTCTCGCTCAATTTAGCAACACCACAGACCACCAGTAGGTCAAATACAACCCATCACAATACCCATATGAGGGAGAGACTGGTAGGCCATCAAAGGGTTTGGTGAACATGTAAGAGCCCTAAGATCCAAAAATCTTAGATCTGAAAAAAAGTCCTAAAGATCTACAAATTTCATCAAACTCATCTTGAATCTGCAAAATATGGTCAAATTCATCTTCCATCTACAAATCTACAGGTGGAGGTGGCTTTTGATCTTCTGGGTTTAGATCGAGTGGGTTGAGGGAAAGGCGGCCTCCCGCCTGCAGCCTCCAGCCTTCATGGCTTAAGCCAACTGAAGATCCAGCTCGACGTTAAGCTTGTCTTCTTTTTTTTCTTCTTCTCTCTATTTGGCGTGAATCAGCTCAACAAAGACNATAAATATGATTTCTTATAAAATACATTTTATTGAATATATTTTTAAGGAGTGTGTTTTATTAGTCATTCCAAACGGAACATAAATAATTTATTTTAAAATTTTTTCCTAAGAAAAAAAAACTCAATCATTGGAGATTTTCATGAGTTGAACACTTTTACCAAACGATTTATGACATCTCAGGCCTTTATTCAAAATTAAACTTATATATAAATTTTGAATAGAACTAAGTCATAAGCTACAACCCTTTAATTAAATTTATATCGGATAACAAAAATTTGTTTGAAATCAAAAAAACCTCAAAATTTAAGCCACATGTCCATATTCTCATCTTTCAAATGACTCCATTGAAACTTGTGTCATTATTACTGATATCATTGCATATCGTCCAGATTTGAGCAATTTTTTTTTTTTTAAACAAAGACTTTATCAGATCAAAGGGGTAGATATTTTCATGAAATTTTAGAAAATAAATACAAAGGTTGAGAAAAGAGATGGACAAAAAATTTTGGAGGAAAAAATTGAAGAAAATGAAACATTTTAGTATCTAAATATCAAATCCAATTTTGTACTCAGTTTTTTATTCAAATACGTGTAAAAGGGTAAGCTGAACTCACATCGGACTCGAAGTAAAAGGTTGGGGGCAGCTGTCAGATTTTGGAATAAATGTTCTCCTTCTCCAATTCAGCTGTCAGATAGTATTATTTTTGCCAGGCTCGACAAAATTTGACACGGGATTATTAAATAATAAAGTATAATCTTATTAAATAAATGGGTTATATTTGGGTGTGCGATGTCGATCTATTTATCACCCCGTTTATTCGTTTAAATAATTTAAAAATTAAATTTAATAATTCTAACAAAGGTAATAAATCTCAATAAATTATGTGACGTACAGTGAAATCAATAGTTATAATTATTTAAAACTAGTTTTTAACTCTATTAAATTCGTGTAGCATTACTTATAAATTAATAGTTATTCAAAAAAATATTTATAATAATACATGTAGTTATCAATTAGATTAATTTTAAAAAATGTAATAATTTTTTTAGTGAAACCTACAAAAAAATATATATATATATAGGGAAAATTTTATTTTGACCCCCCTGAAGTTTATTACTTAATCAGATGGACCCCGTTGGATATGAAAAATAACACTGCCACCCCCTAGTACTAACGTTAACCTAACAGACCTAATAGCAATGATGAAATGACTATTTCACTTTCCTCACTAAACCACCGACACCATCGCCTCGACAGTGTACCGGCACCATCGTTCTCTCGCTCAATTTAGCAACACCACAGACCACCAGTAGGTCAAATACAACCCATCACAATACCCATATGAGGGAGAGACTGGTAGGCCATCAAAGGGTTTGGTGAACATGTAAGAGCCCTAAGATCCAAAAATCTTAGATCTGAAAAAAAGTCCTAAAGATCTACAAATTTCATCAAACTCATCTTGAATCTGCAAAATATGGTCAAATTCATCTTCCATCTACAAATCTAAAGGTGGAGGTGGCTTTGGATCTTCTGGGTTTAGATCGAGTGGGTTGAGGGAAAGGCGGCCTCCCGCCTGCAGCCTCCAGCCTTCATGGCTTAAGCCAACTGAAGATCCAGCTCGACGTTAAGCTTGTCTTCTTCTTTTTTTTCTTCTTCTCTCTATTTGGCGTGAACAACAAAGATCCAAACGAAGCTCTCTGTCTCTCTCTCTGGTGTGAATCAGGTTGACGAAGATCTCGATTCTCTTTATGAATTGTGTTTGTAGTTGGTTTTAGATTTTGGGCTCTCTTTTATCTCCCACTTCGATTTCAGGCACCCACTTGGGTTTTAGATCTAATCATGTATGATGTGTGTGTGTAATGTAGAATATATTTAACTAGGTAAACGCTATCCGAATATATTCTGTTTGAAGAATGTGTAACTGTGTCAGTTTGTCTTCCGTTACTGATAGGGGGTCTTAGTATAATTTGTCAAACGTAAGTGGATGTATCTGATTAAGTGATAAACTTGAGGACGTGTAAGTGTAATTTATCCCAATAGTAAATATTGGCAGGATTACGCAACCTTCTCTCTATTCTTCCCAGCGGCCGCCAGTCTGTAGTCCATAGGCTCTCTCTTTCACCGCTGTAAGTTTCGGCTGTTGTCATGGAGTTGAAGCTATCGTTCTCGTCCGATAACGCTCCGCTCTCAGTCATTGCGGCAGCGAAGGTCGCCGGAATTTCTCTCTCCATCGATCCAACACTCAGTCCTGGCTCTCCTCCTACGTTGCTCCTCCCCGAAGGGTAATTTCTCTCTATCCTCTATGTATATGCGTGTGTATATACACGAATGAGCTTTTATTAACTCAATCGGTATCCAGATTGAAGCAGGGAACAAATGAGCTTCTCCGGTATCTCGGTGGGAAAGGAACCATTTCTAATTTCTATGGCATGGATGCCTTCGAATCTGGTCAGGTCTGTTAATTTGAACTCTCTGAACTTCGTAGCATTTGAAATATTATCTTTCTTGTTAAATTGTTTTTGGTTTATAAATGTTTGTTGGGTTCAAGTTTGCTAATTTTTCCTTTTCTCATTCTCTTTATAGATTGATAAATGGCTAGAGTATGCCTCTGTTTTTGAATCTGGTTCTGAATTTGAGGGAGCATGTGCCTATGTGGATGAATATTTGCTGCAGCGTACTCTTTTGGTCGGTCATAATCTCTCAGTTGCAGATATAGCAATTTGGTCTGGTCTTGCAGGTTAAAGTTTCAAGCTTTCACCTAATTACAAATTTGAAAACACATGCATATATAGGTTGATTGTGTAGTAAAGCAATCACGCATTTGCATATTTCGAATTCTATGTTGCGTTGATTATCACTCTGTCATCAAGCTATCTGCTTGCTGGAAACCATGAAATAACTGTTACTTATTCACATGCCGGCACATTGGGTTGTGACACATCATCTCTTATCATGCTAGTGATTGTTTGATGTTTTTCNTCGGGACCCCGAGCAGTTAAGAAGAGAAGACATTCCTCATTAGAATCAGTGCGCACATTGCCTGTACCTGATGATCACCTACTGACTACACTGACAGCAATTATGAACTTTTGAGGTATAAATACTTCTTGCAAAAGGCAAGACGGGTATGCAACANTCAGCCATGCATTTTGTTGTATTCCTGTTTGAATTTTTGTTTGAAATGGTTGATGATGCAATTGACCTATGATTATGACTTAATGTGATTATTGATCACACCATGGTTTATCCAGTCTAGATAACTAATAACATTGAATGTAATAATAAGAATAACNGGTCGCCGGAATTTCTCTCTCCATCGATCCAACACTCAGTCCTGGCTCTCCTCCTACGTTGCTCCTCCCCGAAGGGTAATTTCTCTCTATCCTCTATGTATATGCGTGTGTATATACACGAATGAGCTTTTATTAACTCAATCGGNTTCCAAGCAGCGTGGTTGGTCACTCAACTGGCTCACTCGAGTTCACCAAGGGAGAGATCTGTTCTCGTTTTTATATTGTGCAGGATCTTGCACGCACAATATCTATACTGATTGGGCATTTCCCACCAAGTCTTTTGTGTGAATTGTTAATTTTTCTTTCATGGAGTTTCTCCGTGATTAATTCATTTGTTGAACAGGCCATAAAGGCACTTATTATATGTACTCTATACATACTTATGTATGGTAATATAATAAGAATTTAATTAAGCATATGCTTCATTACCAGGATCTATTTTAGTTGGATATCTATTGTGATCCACAGCATGATTCCTTTACCTTCTTCCTAGTTCCAGGACTAAATGAATGTACATTCTACTCACTATTTAATCCTTGTTTACGTACGTGCCTAATATTCCTCTGTTTAGCTTCTGAAAATGCTCCAATTTTTTCTCTTTGCAGGAACTGGGCAGAGGTGGGAAAGTTTGAGGAAGTCAAAGAAATACCAAAACCTAGTGCGGTGGTTCAACTCAATATTCGTTGAATATAATGATGCCTTGAGTGAGGTCACATCAACATTTGTTGGTAAAAAGGGCTTGGGAAAGCCAATGGCATCCAAAGTAAAAGGAAAAGAGCAACAAGGTTCTAATCCTGATTCCAAGAATGTAAGTGGCAGTGCTAATGAAAAGGGAAATGTAGGCAATCGGCCCACATTTGAAGTAGATCTTCCAGATGCTGAAGTTGGAAAAGTGAAGTTGCGTTTTGCACCGGAACCTAGTGGTTATCTTCACATTGGACATTCAAAAGCAGGACTATTGAACCAGTATTTTGCTCAAAGGTACCAAGGTCAGGTGGTCGTGCGCTTTGACGATACAAATCCTGCTAAAGAAAGCAATGAATTTGTGGATAATATTCTGAAGGATATTGAAACTTTGGGTATTAAGTATGAGAAGGTTACATATACGTCGGATTACTTCCCTAAGCTAATGGAAAAAGCTGAGGAATTGATTCGTGAGGGTAAGGCGTATGTTGATGATACACCACGTGATCAAATGCAAAAAGAAAGGATGGATGGAATTGAATCAAGGTGTAGGAACAACAGCTCTGCAGAGAACATGATATTGTGGAAGGAAATGATTGCTGGATCTGAAAGGGGTTTACAGTGCTGTCTCCGAGGGAAGCTGGATATGCAGGACCTAAACAAGTCACTTAGGGATCCAGTATATTATCGTTGCAACCCGATGCCTCACCATAGGATTGGGTCTAAGTATAAGATTTATCCCACTTATGATTTTGCATGTCCTTTTGTTGACGCGGAAGAAGGTATTACACATGCACTTCGATCTAGTGAGTACCATGATCGCAATGCTCAGTACTACAGGATTCAAGAAGATATGGGAGCTCGAAAGGTTCTCATATATGAATTTAGCCGGTTGAATATGGTATATACACTTCTCAGCAAGCGTAAGCTTCTATGGTTTGTTCAAAATGGAAAGGTTGATGGGTGGGATGATCCTCGGTTCCCTACAGTCCAAGGAATTGTGCGCAGGGGCCTGAAAATCGAGGCCTTGGTACAGTTCATCCTTGAACAAGTAAGATTTTGTTCTCTAGCAGTCATCAAAAGTTGGTCACAGATACTGTTCAAAAACTGTGCATAAGGATTCCTTTCATTAAATTGGTCCTACATAAAGGATTTTGCGAACTTGAGTTATACTAACATGATTGAAGTGGTTATACGTATTTTGGATCTCTCTTTCTCTCTCTCTTCCTTTCTTAACTAGGAAAACATAAAATGATAGTTTTGGGGTTGGCATCTTTTTTGCTCTCTCTCTCTGTTGTGGTAGGGGTGTAGGNTCCTTTACCTTCTTCCTAGTTCCAGGACTAAATGAATGTACATTCTACTCACTATTTTATCCTTGTTTACGTACGTGCCTAATATTCCTCTGTTTAGCTTCTGAAAATGCTCCAATTTTTTCNTCAGCCATGCATTTTGTTGTATTCCTGTTTGAATTTTTGTTTGAAATGGTTGATGATACAATTGACCTATGATTATGACTTAATGTGATTATTGATTACACCATGGTTTATCCAGTCTAGATAACTAATAACATTGAATGTAATAATAAGAATAACAATAACAATAATTTTGGAGCAAGATATTAAATTTTGAAGAACTTCCTATTGAATGAGCCATCATTTTATATGAACAAGCAACAAGTAATGGAAGGAAGAAATCATTTATTAAATCCTTTCGATACTAGTGGAAATTGCATTGGATATCTATACTGATTGGGCATTTCCCACTAAGTCTTTTGTGTGAATTGTTAATTTTTCTTTCATGGAGTNAATGAGCCATCATTTTATATGAACAAGCAACAAGTAATGGAAGGAAGAAATCATTTAGTAAATCCTTTCGATACTAGTGGAAATTGCATTGGATANCGAGGCATCTCTAAGAAAGTGGAGGGTGTTTTTCCTTAAAAATCCGTGAGGAAGCTTACCGAGGATTAGTCGCTATATATCAACCGGAGACACCTCCAGTCATCGGAAAACAAAAAGGGATAGGAGGAAGAAAAGAAGAAAGAAACTAGGACTCACCCGAATGCCAAACGGAGTTTTTTCTGGAAAACTTTAGACGACTCANCCGCTCCCCCAAGGTCTCCCGTTGCCGTTCCAGGTTACCACCGGACCTCGCACGCTGTTCCAAGCAGCGTGGTTGGTCACTCAACTGGCTCACTCGAGTTCACCAAGGGAGAGATCTGTTCTCGTTTTTATATTGTGCAGGATCTTGCACGCACAATATCTATACTGATTGGGCATTTCCCACCAAGTCTTTTGTGTGAATTGTTAATTTTTCTTTCATGGAGTTTTCTCCGTGATTAATTCATTTGTTGAACAGGCCATAAAGGCACTTATTATATGTACTCTATACATACTTATGTATGGTAATATAATAAGAATTTAATTAAGCATATGCTTCATTACCAGGATCTCTTTTAGTTGGATATCTATTGTGATCCACAGCATGATTCNAGAAAGAAACTAGGACTCACCCGAATGCCAAACGGAGTTTTTTCTGGAAAACTTTAGACGACTCATTCCAGAAAGTTCAGAAGCAACGATGGGTCTACTGGCCTTAAGACTTTAAGGAAGAATGGGCAGTCGACGATGAGGGAGGAAAGAGATCTCCGGCGAAGATTCAAGAAAAAGCTCTCTTGAGGAAGTTCGGAATGACGAAACAAGAAAACAGAAGAGGAGCCCCATTTATATAGAGGCAATTTCATCATTAGGCGCGAAAAACGAAATGGCGCATTTAATGCACACGACATCCCAAGCCGGGGAAAGCGGCTCGAGGCAATGATGAAGCATTTGTGGTTGTTGGGAAATCCTTCGTCTCCTTACGACACGTGCCCTCGGTGTCAGAAGATCGAAGGGTGGGGGGCAGTTGATGGGACTTTTCTGAAACACTCCATGATGAAGACACGTGTCCTCGGTATTTTACCAAAACACTGTTGCTATGATCAAGCACCATCGGCGCATAAAGGTCCTCGCCCCCGAGGTACTCGTCATATAGGATCATGGCATTCAGTATGTTTTACAACCGACACGTGGCCTCGGTCTGATATGGTACCTCAGTCGGTATACCTCCCTCGGTTCCGAGATGNGAAGGATTTTGCGAACTTGAGTTATACTAACATGATTGAAGTGGTTATACGTATTTTGGATCTCTCTTTCTCTCTCTCTTCCTTTCTTAACTAGGAAAACATAAAATGATAGTTTTGGGGTTGGCATCTTTTTTGCTCTCTCTCTCTCTGTTGTGGTAGGGGTGTAGGTAATGGTCTATGAGATTGCCATGGCCAGAACCTTCTATAGAAATTTATTTCATAAATCATAATGTCTAACAAAGCTTGTAATGTATGGCATGTACATTATTGTCTTAGATTTATCCTAAAACCTTGAAAAAAGTGGGTTCATAGGTTTATTTTTCCCTGAGGCTTAATCTTGTCCTCTTTTTTTTGTTTTGTTTTAGGGAGCATCAAAGAATCTTAATCTCATGGAATGGGACAAACTCTGGACCATTAACAAGAAGATTATCGATCCTGTGTGTTCCAGACATACTGCTGTCATTGAAGAACGGCGTGTATTGCTAACTTTAACTAATGGACCTGAGGAGCCATTTGTCCGGATCATACCAAGGCATAAGAAATACGAAGGTGCTGGGGAAAAGGCTACTACTTACACAAAGAGAATATGGATAGATCATGCTGATGCTGAATCAATCTCGGTAGACGAGGAAGTGACCTTAATGGATTGGGGGAATGCCATTGTAAAAGAAATTAGAAAGGACCAAGATGGATATGTCACGCATTTAGCTGGGGTTTTGCATCTTGAGGGATCTGTTAAAACCACAAAGCTGAAGCTCACCTGGCTGCCAGACACAAGTGAACTTATAACACTCTCTCTAGTGGAGTTTGACTATTTAATTTCAAAGAAGAAGGTATATGCTGGTTTACTAAGAGCCATTTGCTTCCTATTTGGTGCTTTAAGGTCATTTACATCTCCAGTGCATAATATTCTCTATCATTTTGGATACATGGTACTTAATTTGTCTTTGCGGACTGATCCTACTCAAAAACTGTGCTATAAACAGCAAATGTCTTCATGAAGAAGAATTCCACACATTATATAATGTTTCTTTCTTAAAACGTGAATAAGAAAGGAACTCCTAGTTGATGATGAAATAATGTTTTTAATATTTGTACTTGCAGCTTGAAGAAGATGAGGATTTCCTTGATGTCCTTAACCCATGTACGAAAAAGGAAACTGTAGCCCTTGGGGATTCAAATATGAGGAACTTGAAGCGTGGGGAAATACTGCAGCTGGAGAGGAAAGGCTACTTTAGATGTGACGTTCCCTTCATGAGGCCTTCAAGGCCCATAGTTTTATTTGCAATTCCAGATGGGAGGCAGCAAACCGTGTTGAAGTAAGTCCTTTTGATTGTAGTTAGCCTTCAATGAATGAATTGAGAAAATTTTCCGTGTAACTCCTATTTGATGCGTGTCGTCCCCAAGTATTGTTAATGTATACTGATTTAAAGTGACTTGTGAATCGTTTTTCAATTATATCTATCATTTCCCTTCCATTTATTGTAGAATTTGGTAGTAAGTTTTGTTTATGGGCATGCGCATGAAAAAGTTCAATAGTTTTTTTTCTNTGTGAATCGTTTTTCAATTATATCTATCATTTCCCTTCCATTTATTGTAGAATTTGGCAGTACGTTTTGTTTATGGGCATGCGCATGAAAAAGTTCAATAGTTTTTTTTCTTTTTTGCGGTTCATTGAAGGAGACTGGCTGCAGCCTCTTGCTGGTCCAAAACCTGTCCATAGCCAATTTTCCATTTTTGATGCTGTCTATTATATTGGCTTTCTGTTGGTTTAAGGCTTGACCCACGAGTCTGAACTTTTGCTTCTACACATGCATTCTGGGGATTGTGTTGTTTGTTGTGGGGGGGGGGACCACTTAAAGATGTGGCCAATTTGGACAATGTCACGACTGTTTAATGATGTGTTTGAAAATTTAGCCGTTGTGGGATTCGGAATCAACATTTGTCTTATTACATTAGAGAAAACTTATTATTTTGTCACTCCGTCATTAAAATTTCTAACAAAAGCTTCTGCCACAAAGATGCTTCTCCCCCATAGCTGCTTGCATACCAATAATTCTCACTACTAGCACAGCCTGCATTCTTGGTGTTTTTAAGTAGGAGTATTCTTGGTTAAAATATCACAAGTGATAAGGTTAGTACAATAAGCTTGAATGTGTATCCTTTTCAATTTTTGTTTAAAAAATGATTAGGCCCATGCTTGATTGTTTTCGGCTTTGGTGATTGTGAATCTGTGATACTTTCAAGGGTAAAATACAAAATACACTAGTGGTCCCCGAAGTGACTACTTAGTAGATCTCTGCTTAAAGTTTCAAATTTGTTATTAAATGATGTTTTTGTTTACTTTCATACAAATTAATTAATACAAATAGATACATGGCAACCACTATCAAATGGCACATAAGTCTTGCCCGTTACTTATTTGAATGGATGTTAGTGATTTGACCATTTAAAAATAGATTCAAAATGAAAGTGACAAAATTAGAAATATAATGATTAAAGATAATACTGAGTAGGGTGTATTTTATCTTACCTTTAATTTAATAATAGGTTGAGTTTAGGCCAAATCTTCATCACTTTTAATCCGATAAGATTATTGATGTATATCATTTCAAAGGATTATAGATACTATTTTAAATAGTAAGCTAAAGAGATTGGACCTTAAATCGGTTTGGATGAGAAAAACCAAAGTTTGCATTAAACAAACATTAATCACTATGAGGTATTGGTGATGCTTGCACATGATGGAACTCTGTAGTAGTAAGTAGAGGTCTTGGTTGGACCCATATGGGTTGGGTAAGTATTAAGCAAAACTAGTGTTGTTCCCTAATCTGATAAAGACAAAAGGCAAATTAGTGTAACCGGTGGGTGGGAAAAAAACAAAGCCTTCATTATGCAACCCTCTCTCTCTCTCTCTCTTTCTCTCTCTCTCTTTCTGACCATGTTGGTAAAGGGGGCCTTTCAGACTATTATACAAGTGATATTAAATTATGAATAAAGGTATCATGGTACTCATCGTTAATTTAAGACTTTGTCGCAAATGTTGTTTCATCGTGGTCGCATATGAAAAATTATAAGTTTTTTTTGTAAAAAGAAAGTAGTTATTTATAAGGGTTCATTATAATACGCCCCCTCCAACTACGTCTTTTATTGCAATCAACTACTTGATTTTAAATACTATAACTTGTACCCTCCAAGTTTCAACTGTACTAAATTGACTAACATAAGTGGTTGAACACCTGAAAGAACCATTATATCTTATGTATTATACATTATTTCTCATATTTTTTCTTAAGATACCAATTTTATCCCTAAAATAATTAAAAAAAAAAAGGGTTTCTACTTGGACGGGGAAGAGAATGAGAGCTAACCATTCGAGGTAGTGGAGAATAGAAGGGGAAATATGGATCATGTGAATTTGGTACAAGGGAAAAATAGGTGTAAAGTTAATTATCTCTTTTCAACATAGTAAGGATCACGTGAATTTGATATGTTTAACTTTTGTCAATTTTTATAATCTTTATTGAAAAATATTCAAACTTAAAGGAGGCTATTTATTGAAACTAAAACCTAACAGAGTGAGTTATAAATTATCAAAAGTTGAAGGGAACATTTTGTAATTAACATTATTTATAATTAGGGGTGCAACTTAGACAAATTGGATGGACTGAGTTCAATCTTTTTTTTTTTTTTGGAGGGGGGGGGAAGGGGAAGGGAATTTAAACCCTTGACCTCAAAAAGATAAAATTTTTACAAGATAAGGAATATCATTAGACCAAAGTTCTATTAGTGACCTAGGCTCAATCAAATCATGAATATTACACAACCATGTTTTCAACTTGGGTTCGAACCTCATGTTGAAGTTTGGTTTCAATTCTAAGGTTACACAGTTTGATTTTTAAAATTTTTGGTTTAATTTGGATTAAACTCTTGTTATTAAATTTAGGTTAGGTGCAGATTTGAACTAAAAAACTTGATACCTCAACCTGATTAATATTTGAATTTATATCAGGTTGAGTTTTTTTTACCCCCTAAACTCAACTCAAGTACTGAATATTTTTTAGTTTCAACTCTGAATTTAGTTTGAATTGATTCGTTTAAATTACCACCCTAATATAAAGTTAAAATGTGAGGGATATTAAAATTAGCTTGGCTCTAAACAATTTCTTCTTTTTTGTTAAAGTCTTGTACCACTAGAAAAGCAAGCAATACATTTAGTTTCCAATTTGCTAGAGTAGCAATGAATCAACATAGAAGAAAACCCATTTAGAAATTTCACTTTTATTGTTGTTCTTTAGAAAACACACAAATTTCATACATTTCTTTGATTCCCAAACATCAAATTCAAATTCCCTATTATAGTTGACAACAAGAACCAACATACATCCCACTCCATGTTGTGTCTACTTCTTGGGAGCAAACTTTGACTTGATCTTATCAACCTCTTTGGTACCAATTTGGAATGCTTTTGTCAGCACATTATCCGGCACTGCCGGCGTTGCCGCAAACAGCGTTGTGGCGATGGATTGAGTACCCGGTAACTGACTGTTGAATGCGGCAATGACAGAAGCAGGAACCTTGCCATTGTTCTTTTGGAAGTGGACAAGTCCTCTTGGGAATGTAAAGATCTCACCCTTCGTTATATGCTTGGAGATTAGGACATTGGCTGTGGTTATGAACCCTACATCCAATTCACCTTCAAGCACGAAAACTATCTCGGTGGCACGTGGGTGGGTGTGGGGTGGATTTAGGCCGCCCGGGGCATAGTCAATGCGGGACAATGACACTCCAAGAGTGTTGAGACCTGGGATTTTCTCCACATTGGCTGCAGTTACCACAGCCCCATTTGTGTTGTTGGTGAGTCCTGGTTTAGCCAGGCCAGCAAAGAAGAAATCTGCGTCACTTATGTTCGTTTTGCATACGAACCCATTTACTTTTGGACCTGTTTCATGCATATAAACATTATTAAAATTGATGGTATAGCTCTTATTGATAAGTAAAATAAACCCCTTTGTTTATCATTCTGAAATACCAAAACTGATAAAAAGTTAGAGAACCATCTAAATATAAATAGCTAGACCGAGAAAAATAAATGTAGCCGACCCCAAATAGTTTCAGTAGGACAGTTTGTTTATTTGAGCACCATTGAATTTAGTACCAGCAACCCTTTCCTTATTCTACAAAAATCAATCTTTCAATATTAATGTCTGGTTGGTCTGTTGAATCAAAGCACTCATTATTATGGTAGAAATGACAGCTAAGCTACAAAACAGTACCAAAAAGAGACAACACAAGTGGTTAGAGCAGAGCTGACCCACAAACAGATTAGAGGTCTAATTGATCAAGTAAAGAATTTTTCACTTTTTTCCCTTGAGGAAAAAGGTCTAATAAGCATTCAAGGGTACAAATTAATCATAAAAAATATAAAACAGATATTGTTGAGGAAAGCAAGAATGGGGTTTTAATTTACAAAAAGTGTTGTCAAAAATGGAGGAAAAGAGAGAGTTTTGACTTATCAATACCAGAAGTGAGATCAGCAACACAAATATCTTGAAGCAAGTCAGGATCTCCAGAAACTTTGTAAGAGGAAATGGCTGCCATGATCATAAGAATCATCACAATCAGCTTACCAGCACTCGCCATGATTGTAAACAAATATAAGTCTGTGAGCCCCAAAAGGAAAGCAATGAGAGGTGGAAAAGGAAACACAGAAGAAGAGAGAAAAGTATGTTCAGAACATGGGGAGAGAGAGGGAAGTGGATGTCTTATTTATAAGCAGACTTTCAGGACCAGTTTGAAGTAGAAAGAGAGAGAGGTTTTTTGTAATAAAAAAATAGCAAATTAAACTTAAACAACCTAAACTTTGTCACTCATTTCAAATTGTCTTCTAAACTTTTTTTTTTTTGCTTAACTTTTTATTTATTTATTTTTTTGGGGGAAGGGGAAAAGGGAGGAGTACTTAAACCCTTGACCTCAGAAAGACAAAACTTTCACAAGATAAGAAGTATCATTGGATCAAAAGCTCATTGGTACCCTAAACTATTTATTTTCTCACATTGCACCGTAAAATATTAGTTTGAGTTTCACACTACCCATCGTTAATTGGTGTTCAATTTTTCATCGCATAGTAGGGCAAAAATAGAATTTGAATTATGGCAACTCCTTGTGGTTAGACTATAAGAGATTTATTTCTCGTGAATACTGTAATCCCGACGTAGATGACCTTTTTTTGACCAAATTGGAGAGGGAATTAATCGAGGTACGAGTAAGTTAGTTCGGACACTCCTAACAAAAAAAGACATATTTATAATTTGGTGACGCTAGGAGATGTAGTCTTTCCCTCCTCAACTAGGTGAATTTTCATTTTGCAATAAAAAATTGGACAAAAATTAACTATTGGGTTATATGAATTACAATCCAAATAATTTAAGGAGTAGTAGGAGAAAACGAAACGTTTAGAGATAATATGAAACGAGTGACATAATTCGGGTAGTCTCAAGTATAATCTGCTGAAAAAATGGGTAGAGGGAGAGAGAGTTAGAGAGTGGAGACTTTGACAGGATCTGTGCATGCAAACGCACGAAACATGGCATCTTCGACCCAAAGTAAAGGGATCAGGATGAGGTCCAAACACGGTCCCAGTTGATATAATTAAATAAATTTGCCTGTATTTTGGCATTTGGCCCCGGTTCTCTCTGCCTGTCACGGACGTGGATGTGACCCACATGACATGGGCTACACTATAGTATTGTATTAATTTTGTTAGATTTGTTGGTAGGATTTAGCATTGTATTCTAGTTCCAGCAACCCTTCACTCTACGAAAAGCTTTGCTCAATATTATACACTGTTATGAGAAAAACAAACTAAGGTTTGGTTTATACATTCCCCCCTCTCAAGTCTTTGAAAATTTATATAGTGACTTTACTTCTTTTTTTTTTTTCCGGGTTGGTTTATTTGCCCCCATTCTACTAGATTAAATATTTTATTTTTAGATTGACTAATAAAACAAATGTAAAATGCTCTAACTCATATATTGACCGAATATAACACTTTTGTTATTTAATACACTCTTATTATTGTCCATTATTCTTTTTATAAATAAGTGGCTCGTAACTTGGTAAAACACAAATTGATGCAACTAGTAAGATGTACCAATTCAAAAGCATTCAAGTCATTCAACTATTCAGAAATTTCTCTCATGAAAATGATCAATAACAGACGATTCTTGAAATTTGATACAATATTATCGTGTTGTACTTTAATATATTATTTCGTTTGAACTAATACTTTAATATATGATTTAATTGAAATGTGTTATGAGAAAATTATTGGTTCTATTTGTTCATATTTTATTCATTATTGCATTGATATTGGTTTTAACTTTCATATGGTAATTGAGTCTTGAATTGCAATACATAATTTTTCAAACTTGAACTTAGGAATTATCTTATATAAATATAATACCCAATTTAGTCCTCATTAATCGAGGTCCAAAAAAAATTATTTCAACTGATTAATATTTTCACTCATGTTTTTGTCCCCTCTAAGATAGAGTCCTGGCTTCGCCCCTAATAGCATGGGATGGAATTGAACAATTGATTTCATTCTAATTTGTAATGGTGGTAATAATTGATCAATCACTTTATTCCATTTCAATGAAATCATGTTTGAACAAAGTGTGAGCCTATTTTTCTAATACTAACGGGATTAATGCATACTATTAAGTTAAAAAACACAAAAAATAAAAAATAAAAAAAAATAATCATGCATCAATGCATAAGTCTTTAGTTTGTACGCATACTCTTGTCATTCTGGATATTAATATCAATCTTACGTTATTTAATAAATCCTATTGTATGATATTGGTTTATATAAAATATATATAGGGTGATAAAGATCACTTTAGTAACTTATCGATACTAAAATATCTTTAATACCAGACTTATAACATGATGCAATTATTAAATGACAATTGGAATAATTTAGTACAATCTCATCCTTTAGGATGTATTTGGATTAAGTATTAATAATGAAGATTGGATTAATTAACTCCTCCTCGACTACCTTATCTCATTTATTCCCAGTTTTGAATACATAATTTAAGCTCTGTACTATCACTTAAAAATATACTAGACCCCCACAAAATAGTGCATAATTCCCACATACACCTTCTAAATTAAACCCACCTATTATTGTGGGTTAAAAATAATTTGATTGAAGTATTATTGAAATAAAAGGCATTTTTATCCCTAAGAAACTAGAGATTGGACTAAATTGGGAGTTCTTTAATAATTTTAAGTATTGTATGGAATAAATGTGTCCATTACTTTTCAATATCGGTATCGGAACCAAACAAAGGATGGGGGATATGATATTTAGATTTGACTTTTTTCTCTAGGTGGATGAGTGTGGGATAGATAAGGTTGTCGAATCCCATCAATCCTAATACTTAATCCAAAAAATACCCTTAATACCCTAAACAAACAAGTCTTAAATATGATGGCGTACTTGCTGATTTTGTAAACATTACATAGTGTAAAATTTACGTCAGTAGGTCAATAATAATCTTGTACCAAAGCAATTCAAACTACAATAGAACAAATCATGTTCTGTCTTTATCTGCTTTTTTTTTTTTAAATGTCAATCTTCTTGTTCCTTTCATACATTCTCTTTATTTGAGTAAATGACCGAAGCAAATAGATACTATCTAGACACGTATCAAATTGCCTTGCATGGCACGGATGGATGGTTCATTGTTGGTGGTTCCTAGGATGGGATTGGGTCCGGATAAATTTGGGAATTTTGACAAAGACCGGACAACAAGATCTGACAATTTTGATCACAATGGCAACAATTTTTTTTTTTTTTTTTTTGCCCAAATTCAAATTTTGACCAATGTAATCAATCATCTTAACAATCCGTGCAACTCGAACAACTTATATATATATATATTAATTAAAAATAAGTTAAATATGTATTTATGTAATATACAAGAGTGACTATTCATGATTGTTGTGATATTGTAATGCAGCATAAGAAGTTGACATTATAGCATGTCATATAAACATGTGTATTTAGTCGTATATAGTATGAAGATACTTTTGAGGGCATTTGAGATTACTTTTAAAAATTGTTTTTAGAACTTATTACTTTTGATAAGCACTTTACAAAAAAATTGTGTTTAGAACAACTTATTTTAATTACTTCCTAATAAATCAAAAGTAATTTTACCACTTAAATAAGTAAGTCAATAAAAAAAAATAACTTCTACTTTCTTAAAATTTAAAAATAACTCCACGAAATACTTTTAATTCTTATATTTATTATTACTATTACCATCATTCCACCGTCATCGCCCACCATTCACCACCACCATTGTCACCACAGGCCATGGTCGTTCTACCACAATCATCATAATTGCCGCTCACAACTACCACTCAATTTTTAATATATGTTTTGAAATATATTAAAAATTGAGACATAGATAAGTATTTTTTTTTAATTAATAATCCAAACATATTTTTTGATAAAGTATTTTTTATTTGAGTGTTTTTTTAGCTTGAGCCTTGAGCTTCCAAACAATATTTATTTAATGAAAATACTTTTTTTGTAAATTACTATTTTTTGAATTTTATAAATCATCCCAAACGTAACCTTAATATTATTATTTCACTAGTAGCTTTTGTCTTTCGCCATTTTCGAACACTTACTCTTTACTACTTCTCGATTCTCCTCCTCGGCTCTCCCTTGGTCCTTTCACTATCATTTCCAAATATGCCTTTATTATTTTGAACCTTACTACATTGAAATTTTTTTATTTTCTTGTCTACAAGGTACCACGAATAAAAGATTGGATCTATATGTTGGTTATTTTCTTGGACTGCTGCCCACATTAGGCCTATTGTTGATATTAGATATATATATATTTTACTACATATTTACACATTTTCTATACAGAAAATGTCGGGCTTTTGATTTTGGAGTAATGTAAAATTAATTCAAATAGTTAAAAAAATAATATGAGAAATTCAATAATTGACAGAACAAAATGAGGTTAGAATCATAGTTTAGAGGATCAAAGTGTAATTTATCCTATCGTTTTATACAACACGCATCAAAACTTCAGTGGGTTTGGGAGAGGAACTTTGCCAAAAACTTTAATTTCACAGAGGGTAGTTTAGCCCCCACCAACATTATTTATATCTCCAATTAAAGTTCAACTACAATACCATGCCAATGAAACTCATCTGTCTTGAATGCTTTGTTTCATTTTATGGTAAATTTTAGTGCAAGAGGGCGGGATTTGAAGCATCGATAAAATTGTTTTATTATGATATAAAAATAGCAGAGTCTCGTGCACTTGGTTCCATTGTAACTTTGAGTGCAAGGAGGTAATTTTTTTCATAGCATATTGTGCAATGCAAGTTATACAATTGAAACTTATACTTCTTTCTGGCCAGCATTGACTTTCATGAACTGGCTCCTACTTTGACAATCCAACTACACCTTGTAGCTTGCCAAATCTTTTTCTTTTTGGGTTGGTGGTAGGAGGTATGAATCTTGTCATTTTATTTATTGTGCATGACTAATGAAAAGGGTATTTCAACCCTACTTAGATCCGCTTGTGAAGACATAACTACTGAAGTAGGAAGTTATTGCATTGTTTAGACAAATTATCACTTTGACCTTCTCAACTATGTCATATATCTCACATTGTTCCCTTGTCTTTCATATTATTCCTATCACACCTCAAACTTATTAGTTTCTCATTGCTCAATTACAAACATCCACCACAAATTGAGTAAAAAAATTATGTCACTTGTATGTGATTTGTTTTGCTTCACCTCAATATCTAGTGATAAGTGAACATTTTTGCAATCAAAACACAAAGTAATAAAAAAAAAGTGAAATTTGGGTGACGTGAAAATAAATAGATTGAGTAATTGATGGAGTAATATAAGAAACTCGAGTAAAGAGGGTGACATTAGATTCAAACCATAGATTAATAAGTCAATTATAATTTGCCATGGATAAGTGTGTTTGAGTAGAGCCAAGCTAAAGTAGAGTAGGAGCAAAAAAAAAAAAAAAGGTAGGTCAACAAACGTTTTCATCATTAGGATATTGTAAACTATTTGGAATATGTCATTGAGATTCTCATTTGATACTAAATTTGGCAATTTGGATAAAAAAAAAAATTAAGTTCAACTACTTGTAATTCTCTCATTATAGCTTATTGCTTTTAAACACCCATCCAATCAGAAAAAAAAAAAATTATAGCTTATTGGATGCAGATCTTCCCAAATATGTTTTTCTTTCATTTTGTTTTGCAGATGATCCATTATTAATGAGTGAGAGATTCACTTTTTTTCAGTGAATTCCACTTAAATACATAATAAGTGATCCACCAAAAAAAAAATTGAACAACTCCCTCAAAATGGGTTTAATAGGCACTCAACCCCCAAGATTGTAATCAAATGAGAAACAATATCGCACATCATATTTGAAATCTTAACCATCAATGTAGTGTCCTCAAAATTGAGTAAGTCGTATTTGAATTTCCTCTCTGTCGAAAACAGTGAGTGACTCATATTCACTAAATCCCAAAGTCAATGGGATAGTTCAACGATATTACTGTTTGGTTGCCGAGATAAAATAATAGGTGAGGGGATGCAGGGAATTCCCATAGCATGGAATAAGTACATTGGGGGTTTCCAATGTATATTTGGTACAGGAATTTTACCACGATTGGATATTTTATGAATTGATGTATCAGATTTACTAGGACTATGTCTCCTAGTTAGACTGAGATTAAGGTTATTAACTGGTGTTATTGTAACCCTTTGAATTTTTATATATCGTGCGAGTATCACTCTATCTAAGGTTGTCGGTCATTGTCACGCCCCATGTTTCAAAAATAACGCGATTTAAGGAAAAATCCTTTAATTCAAAAATTTTCCTCTGTATTATAAATAAGTTTGAATAAAATACATATTTTTCATGAGAAAACTCATTCTTTAAAGAAATAAACATGGAGAAGTTTATTAAAAAAAATATCGGGGTATAACCAAATGGAACAAGTAACCTATGTGAGAGCATTCATAACTAACTAATAATTAATAAAATCCATCTATTCAAATTCAAACCCAAATGTCAATCCATCATCAATGTTTGCAACCCAAATTCTCCAACCAAACGATAAAAATCTACTAAACTAGATTAACTCCAACGGTTTATAAAATCTTAATCCAAAAGTAAGGAAATACTAAAGAAGAATTAATGTTTTCAAATTCAACTTTACATCCTAACTTATGCCTGTCTTAGTCTCCAAACCCAAGATGTCAAAAATTTATTAAAGGGATGAACACAACTAGCTCATTAGAGGACTCCCTCCAAAGTCTAAATAAGGTTTAGAAAAGGTAGGAAAAATAGGTAGGTCACAGTTTCGAAAGTAGATATAGAGCTTTTGAATAAAAATGTGTAAGGACGATCTCATGTAATTTTATGCATAAATTGGAATAACTCAAATATTCAGTCACGAAGATAACTTGTTTGATTAGTAAAAATATTCATACACTGAAATACATCTGGTCCACAACATCACAATTAGAAATCATATCAATTTCCAAAGGGTTTTAGGAAGAAATGATATTGACGCATCAATATCTAACCAATTCTATCATGGAGTAGTAGGACCCCTTGGAACCCCACAAAGAACTAAACACGCCATTACAAGTGATAGAAAACCTTGACACCTCTCAAGGTAACAAACACTCTGCGATATAGATCGAGTGTATTCAAGTTTATCAAACCAATAACTCGGGAGATTAAAGCATGCCTCTAAAATCAATTCAAGTAATGCAACAAACAATATTTTGATATTCATAAATCCAACAAAAGAATAATGAAAACATGTATGAGATCGTATAACACATTCTCAAGTATTCAACATTCAAAGATCTAAGGTTTGTGAACTCAAAATACACATGAAATAGAAATTAGATACTTTTCAACAAGATCGCAGCATACTCTTTCCTTATCCTCAATTATTAGAAAAGAGAAAAAAAAAACTCCACCTCGATTCTATAACACTTGATCTTTAATTGTTTTTTCATCGTTTCGTACACGCTAAATTTAACAATCCTCGACGCAATCTTCTTTTCTTCCTTCTTTTATAGGCTTCTTAGGGTTAGACTAGGTTCAAAAAGCCCTAAAACTAATCCTCAGAGTATTTATAGGCCCAAAAATAGGTGAAACAATGAAATTGACAACCTCAATTTTCATAGGCGCGTCCAAACGAAACTTTTGGTCTGAATGGACTTTACTTTCTATCAAAATTTCTGGACACACATCTAAACACAAATCTCACGTTCGAGCATACTCTAGCCTCTATTCAAAACTCCATATGTGCGTTTGAACGCAAATCACGCATCTGAATGGACCTATCTTTCTATCCAAGCCGTGTTTGTGCTACACAATTTTCCAAAAATTAGATTTTGCACATTCATCTACTAACTCACCCCATATAGTTTCTTTAAATTTTTCAACGCTCTAAACCCGTTTTCAATATTACTTTCACCTAAAAAGTCTATAGAAAATTACTGAATCACTTTATCCTGATTCCAATCACTCTAAAAATATCAAAAACCCAAAAGTCCTAATTACTCGGGCAACATTAATTTAGCGATTCACTTCCCATCTCTAATTAAACTTCCTAACAATAATTTACTATTTTATCTTTAAGGCTAACATTATATTATTTAATTTACATAAATACATAGGGTCTTACAGTCATCTCATTGTGTGTACTAGTCTGTCATCACTCGGGGCTTAGTAATAGTTACATATACGTGGTCATATCTAAATGATGGAGGAGGTTTATAAAACTTATAACACTTCATTTCCCTCCTCAATGTTGTGGTAAAGAGAGCAGGTTGTCGCCAGTCGCCAGTCGCCACAAGTGCTGCAAGAGAAGCTAAGCCGCCGCTCGGGCTTTCCTTCTAAATAAGATTAAGAGGAATTTAGTAGAAATTCGTTTCTCGTATGGGGCAAATGGACAAGTTGTTTCCTTTGTCGGGGTATAACATATGCATGCTAGCCATGTAGGGGGCCCTGCATGAGTTAGAAACACTTAATCAACTCGATAAACTAAGTAGAACGAGATGAAGAAGGTCAATGAGTTCCAATCATTATTTCTTTTTTCATGATGTTTGACTTTCTCCCAAGTTGGTATTTGGTAGACCATCATCAATGAAAATCCAAACCTTTATATAAATTTAAGTTAAAAAATGAATAAAAACTTTATTTGGTATGAGTCTGATAAACTTATTTTTCGAGTCAAATCTTTTTAAAAAAATTCCTTCTTATCCAGTAACTTTTTTTTTTCTCCATTTCTGGCTGTGTACTGGGGCCATCTCTGAACAAGGTCATCAAGAATGTTGGATGGAGAAAGCATTCACAGCTCGTTGCCTCCTGCAAATCAGTTCTCAACAATTGGATTGGCTTGTTCAAACTTAGGGTTGCTCCAAAGATAGGATTCAAAGATGAGATTCAACATTCAATGTTGTTAATATTCATGTTTGGTATGCATAGGGATATATGATTATTATGATAATATATTTGTATATAAATAATTATTTTGTCCCTTAACTAATTAGTATATATGGTGTATATAGGATATATGAAGTTATAAATGTCATTTGTATATAAAACCCTTTAACCCACGTATGAAACATACTCCCCCTTGGATTTCATGAAACCCAAGTATGTGGGTTTCATGACTAGGCCATCCGACGGGCTGGATTTTCAAACCTTAGGCTCAACATAAGTTATCAAACATGAGTTTAAGGAGTTTATTCCCCAACCCACAATCCAAAACCTGCATGCCAAACAGCCCCCAAAAGTCACCGAGCCACCTCTTGATTGCGCTTTCAAATTATTCTCCTTCAAGATGACCGGCTAAGTGGAGGAAGACAGAGACAACAGAAGCGGCGTAGTGAAGGAGAAGAGAGTGAGGTGTCTGATGATTTATGACGTTAAGAAATTAGGTATAAAATTTGAGTTTCTTAGAATAGTTTTTTCTTCGTTTGATATTGGATATGAGTCTAATATTATATAATAATTTTATATCATATTTACTCAAATTTAAATTTAAGTTTAATTTTTTCTTTACTATAGGGTGTTCTAGTGTGCACTACAAATTTTAAATCGGCCACTAACTCCAAGTTTAAAGACATGTACTTAAAGAACATGGATTTCTGACCGTTAAAGGTGTGAGAGACGTATTGCTTGTTAGAGGGCGGGCTTGACATCTACTAAAGCCAAAAATAAAAATAAAAATAAAAAAAATACTGAACAGAAAAGGCCAAATGAGAACAATCCAGAGAACATGAAGAAAATATACCAAGTTACAGACCGACAAAACAAAACTATAGGACACCAATACACAAGTAGAGACTCGAACCCCAAAAAAGAAAAACAAATATAGACAATGCAGATTTGGCAAAGCCATCACATAGACCTCGACATCAACGTAGCCATGGATGCACAACCTTAGACTCTTCCGTCATCGAACTACCCATCTTCTTTAGGCCAGCAATCAGCAAAAAAAACACGTTGTCAAAACCTGTTTCACATTCATTCTCGTCTCTGAAGTGGTATCAACTGAAGTGTTGAACTCTGAATTTCCACTCCCCTTCCACTGGATCATAAGCAACAAATTCACCACCTTGCTCTGCCACCTTCTTGATTAGCATCTGTCTGTACTTATCAACCTTTGGTCCATCTATGTAATGTTTCCCTGTCTTTTTGTCAATGCATTTGATGTTAAGAAGAGTTACCTCCGCAGGCTTGTTAAGACCTTGCCCCACCGGGGGTTTCTTGCTCTCATCCATATGCACAATCACCTCGCGGTTATTAAACTGGACATGGGATTCAATATCAAGTTGCCGCACATCTGTCTCCCCCAAAAACTTGATGCTGCCATAGCCACGTCGTCCAACCACAAACTCCTTCACACGCCTGCAGAATCCTGGTTCAGCCCTTTCCTTTGCTGCCAATTCCTGGATTTGAGGTTCTGTGTAGTAGTCAGAGTGGCGGAGCTTTGGCACTATTGGTTCTACATTAGCTTCATGCTGATGAATACCTGCATTCTGACCATCTCTGCACCCGGGGATTTCAATGCATGAACCTTCCTTTTTGGTGGAATGATCATCACGCATCCCATTAGGCTTGAGGTTGAGTTTGGCTAAAATAACACCGGCTTCGCCTTTGCCATTGTCACCTATATTTCCTGCAAATTTGCAGGCAATAAAAACGTTGAATAAGCATAGCCATAGCATTAGTCAATTAAATTTGTTTAACTATAAAACATGAACACATAAGNAATAACACCGGCTTCGCTTTTGCCATTGGCACCTATATTTCCTGCAAATTTGCAGGCAATAAAAACGTTGAATAAGCATAGCCATAGCATTAGTCAATTAAATTTGTTTAACTATAAAGTTGTCTAAAACTATGAATTACTATCTCTGACATATCTTCTATTCTGAAAAATACCAGAATCGTGTATCCTCTGTTATAATACAAAATAAGAGAAGCCATGAAAATGGTAGAAATTTGCACAAAAGAAAATCACATACAGGAAGACTTACCATTCTCATACACATGATAAGATTGATGATTTAACGTAGGCAATTGCTCTGCATTAGCCCTCAGGAGCCACTGTTCTGAAGAACGAAGAATAAAAGCTCTTGGGTTCTCCCTTGGAACCAATAAAGCATTTCCCCTGGATGTGCTAAAAGTTTCCTCATCACTACTAAAAAATGGCACCTGCACACAACAATCAAACAGCAGCATTAATGTGAAACATTTCCATACAAATTTTCTTTTTCTTTTTCTTCGTTTTTTTTTTTTTTTTTGAGATCAGAATTTCAACTTTGTCCATATGAACAATGAGCCTTTGGTCTAATGATACTCCTTATCTTGTGAAGGCTTTGCCTTCTTGAGGTCAAGGGTTCAAGCTCCCTTCCCCTCCCCCCTCCCCCCAAAAAAAAATAGAGTCTATATGAACTGCAACTTGTGTTGTAATTCTCACCTTTGGACCATTGCTTCTAGGGTCAAATTTCTGAGCAGCCAACCTACTGCGTCTTGTTCGGATAATCAGCAACGATTTAGTTCTGACAGAAGCAGGCTTGTCCAAAACCTGTTATGGGAAGAAAAGACAAATGCTTATATGGTGCACGAAAAAAACCCCTTGCTAAGTAGCTCTCTAAACATGGTAATATTGCATTTGTGACACTTGTGGACAGAACACTCGTGTCTAATACTTGTTCAAGCCAAACAAGAACCCGATGCAAAAGTTTGGGTGTAGTTCACATTTTTATAGTAGGCCTATGACTGAAATTATATTATGGCTCAACTAAGAGGCTTATAACATCCGCTGTGTTTTGTGTGTGTGTGTGTGTTTATTTGCGTTCCGTAAAACGCACGCATAGTCATATACCTGTTCTTAAAATCTGGGATGCCCAATACTGCTTGTCCTTCTATAAATTAGAAAACCAAGTCTAGAAAAAGGGCGGAACCAGTGCACAAGGCTCCAGCAACTGGAGGGTATGGGGAGGGTCAGATCTACACGGAGAGAGGCTGTTTCCGCAGCTTGACTCCCAAGTTCCAATAGAGCAACCATACCACTGCATCAAGGTCTACCCTCTAGAAAACTCATGTCTATGTCTTCAATTTATAACTAGCAAACTAGAACACATATTAACAAGCATGCCCATTATACCAAACAATATACTGCTTGCCAAAGTGAAAGGAAGACTTACAGGTATGCTAGATATTCCATATTGAAGTGATGGTGCCAATCCAGGGTGACCAACTGACACCTCAGGTAGTGTAGGTTCGGTTCCACAAGGACTTGTAACAGCTGCTGGCTGCACTGTGGCAGTGCTCTGAGAAGCAGGCCTGAAAAACATGTAATTGAACATAAGTGGAAAAAGCAAAATACAAAAAAATATAATCATTCAGCAAAGAAGAAATTCTGAAGACATTTTCTGTGTAACTGAACATACTCCGTGAGAATGATGAAAGAAAGAAATTTTTTGCATTCTTAGTTTTGAATGTATAAACAGTGAACAAGTCCCATGTGTAAAGGTTTTTTCCGTTAGGAGCTTTAGGGTATTTCCATTAATCAACTATTATAGAAATATGACATGTTAAATATGGTGGACTCGTTCATTTTTTTGGATAATGACCACACATCACCAACAGCAAAATGCCAACACTTACAACCCGTTACCCTGGTCCTAACTGAAGAAAAAAGTATACAGTCTGGCCTGTGCAAAACCAAGTACTAAATAATCCATCCAATACAGAATCTCATAGGGTAAAGATATACAACCTTCATAATACGATCTAGTCAATAACACTTAAACAAGTTACGAAAAAACAAAAAAACATGGTCATACAATCGTGTGCATAAAGTCAGAGAAGAAGCATACTGTTCACCGTCGGTTCTCTCACCAATTCCTGTAACAGCCACAAAGCTATCTAAACCTTCCAAAAGAGCAAAAATATTATCNCGGTTCTCTCACCAATTCCTGTAACAGCCACAAAGCTATCTAAACCTTCCAAAAGAGCAAAAATATTATCAGTGAGATGGAATGAAAATCCAAAGTACTGCATCCACCACAAAATAGAAGGATCAAAGATTAGGCACAAAATTATCTCTAAGTTACCCGCTGATGTCTTAGCAGTTTCCGCTGGCTGTAGAGGAGTGGATGAAGAAGCCTGCAAGTACATCATAAAAGGCATAAGCTCGACTCAAAAACTATGAAGCGCTTTTTCTATATGGAAATTTCACTATAATCAGTCAAAAGGGGAGCAAACCCAATATACAAAAGCCAATGGATGAAAAGAATAACATCAAAACCCAAAAACTCCACAAATGAATCAACAGTTCCAGGTATATTTCTTTACACAAAGGAAAAGGGTACTCCAACAACAAAACGTATAGCTTATGAAAAACCGAAAAGAAAAAAGATGGAGGTAGAAAACAATCTGGGACCCCCCCCCCCAAAAAAAAAAAAAAAAA